TGTATAACAATGATGGAACTAACAGAAGCAACTGAGACAAAAAAATGGAAAAACATTGGCCCAGATGGTCTACCAACAGAACTTTACAAAGATTTGCAAAATATCCTAAGTATACCAATGCTGCAAGTGTTCAATGAAGTACTGTGAGATGCAAAAGTACTAAATTCATGGATAGAAGCATACATTACGCTCATACCAAAAGAGAATTCAGACTTACAACAGATAAAAAAATTATAGGTTGATATCGTTATTGAATGCGGATTATAAAATATACACCGCAATAATTGCAGAAAGACTTAAAAGATTTTAAAATCAATTTGTATATCCACACCAAAATGGATTTCTACCTAAGGAACAAATTAAAGATAATATGAGAATAATTTTAAACACGCTGGAGTACTACCAAGCACATCCTGGGAAGCAAATGGCACTGATCTTCCTAGACACACAGAAAGCATTTGACAATTTGAAGTGGCAATTTATGCTAACACAGTTGAAAGATATGGATTTTGGGGAGAGATGTATTAATGATTAATGTGGTATATCACAAGCAAACAGCACAGGTGATGGTAAATGGAGATGACAGAGAAGGTTGCTATTAAAAAAGATACAAGACAAGGATATCTCTTGTCTCCCCTATTATTCATATTGACATTGAAAGTATTAAATAGAAATATTAGACAAGATATAGAGATAAAAGGCATGGAAATAAAAAAAAGAAAAATATAAATTACAGGCATTTGCAGATGATTTAGTTTTTATCTTGGAAGATCCACAAAAAACAGGGCCTAAACTAATAAAAGAAATAAAGGAATATGGCAAAATGGCAGGATTGAAAATAAAGAAAAAACTAAGATATTGGTTAAAAATCTCACAAAATGCAGAAAAAAGAGTTAATGAAGAGAATAGGTATTCAGATCACTAAGAAAGTAAAATACTTAGGGATTAATTTAACAGCAAGATGTGTAACTATTAAGGAAGATTATTATAAATGGATGCAACACATTAAAATAGATCTGGAGAAATGGAAAAACCTGCAACTATCACTGATAGATAGGATAGCAACAATAAAAATGAATATATTGCCAAGACTATTATATTTATTTCAAACAACTCCAATAAAACTGGGGGGAACATACTTTGAGGAATTCAATAAAGTAATATTAAGATATATCTGGCAAGGGGAAAAAAGGAAAAATAAGTCTAAAATGCTGCAAGATTCAAGAAAAAGAGGAGGCTTCGGGTTACCAAATTGGGAATTATGTTATCAGGCTGCGGTACTCACTTGGGTGAAAGAATGGATTATAGTGAGGAACTATTGACTTTGGAGGGATATGATTTGCAATTGGGCTGGCATCCCATCTTGTGGTATGGGAAAAATAAAATACATAGTTACTTTCAAAGGCAGTATATTAGGAATGCATTATTGCTAGTCATTATTTCAAGATACCAGTTTGGCTTTCGACAATGGAAGCACTGATTCATCCAAATGTCATTAACATAGAAAATATTGTTATATATAAAGATATTTTGAATGAAAGGGGGAGCTCAGAAATAAACAAGAATTGAGCAATCAAGGGATTGATATGACACAAGTGCAGATACATTCTAGATACGAGAAAGATGCAAAACAATGTGGTTTTTATAAAGAACCAACAGAACTGGAAAAGATACTAACAGGTGCAAAAGAAAAAAACCGTATAGCTACCTACTATACATTAAATTGGAGGACGAATAAGTAAAGGAAACAACAATAGCATGGGGAAAAAAATTGGTTATACAATTGAATCAGATAAATGGTGAAAATTGTGCGATAGGAACTATAAATTAACTATGTCAACTGTATACAAAGAAAACTTGTATAAGATGTTTTATAGATGGCATTTTGCACCAGGGCAGTTGGCAAAGATGTTTAAAGATAAATCGGCTAAATGCTGGAAGTGCCACCAGATACCTGGGTGATATTATCATATGTGGTGGACTTGCCCAAAAGCAAAAAAAAATAAAAAATAAAATACTGGATAAAAATACATATGTGGTTGGAAAAAATGATAAAACAGCATATTGATTTAAAACCAGAAATATTTCTATTGGGGATTCTACCTGAAAAATACAGTAATATTTATTTATTTATGCATATTTATTCATGTATTAACTGCTGCTAGAATTGTATTTGCACAAAATTGGAAGAGCGAAGAGATATTACAGATGAGAATGTGATTAGGAAAATATTATAATGTGCAGATTAACATTGGCAACTAAGGAAAAAGAGCAAACTGAATACTATATGATATGGAATCTATTTTATCAATGGTTAAATAATAAAAATGAAAGTTAGAAACAGGGAAACAAAATAAAGAAGATATGTTAAAAGAGATAAGTAAATATTGTGATTAGTATGTTGAATACTATTATTTTAATATTGTAGAATTAATATGTGGAATATTACTATTTTAATATTGTAGAATTAATATCAAATGATATTGCAAATTTTGATTATTGTTCAACAAAGATATTTGTACTCAGACAACACACTGTTCAACTGAAGATGGAATTATTACAATAAAAAAATATAATTAAAAATAGGCCTAAAAGTTCAGGAAGATATTCAGGAAAGCAGTGTGGGGGAAAAATAGCAGAAAGAATATTATTAAAAGGTATCAGATGGTTCTCAAAGCATGTGAAATATTTGAGGTGATGGTACTTTGATAGAAATATATCAGGTGCATGAAAACTGGCCTGGTGGAAGTGGACAAGCTTCTATTACTCATGAAATGTATGGGAACATTTATTCTTGGGGATTATCAACGAGACTGAGTGATCTAGAATCTAGACAGGGTCTACAATACTGACAGGGTCAACATATTCTGCCCAGCCCATGTGTTTGTGCTTTCTTCAAAAAATATAAAGCATTTTATAGCAATAATAGTTATTTCACAGCCAAACTATTCCAGAACGTTTAGTGACTTGTTTAAGATTGTTTCCCTCAGGGATGGGTGAAGTGAAGGCAATATTTTGTGGCCAAAGGGGAAGATTAGTATTGTTAGGATATTGTGGGTCTGTTGCAAGCTACAAGTGAGATCTGGATTAGAGTTTTGTTCAGAGACCAAAGCCTCTTTAAACTAACACAAAGATTAAAAAAAAATGTCTTTAGCCAAAGCACATGTGCTATAATTAATCTCACCTTATAGCAAAGGAAGCCACTAGTAAAGTATACTCCTTCCCCCATTTCCTGTTTTCTTTCAGAGACTCAGAAACATTTTGGTATCGTCCTTATTATATACTAGTCACTGTTTTAGATCACATGTGAAAAATCTCTTTGTCTCTTTTCTCTCCTCTTTCTTTTTCATCCTGTTCCTGATCTCCAACTGCCCCTTTGTCAGGTTTCTACTCTCTACTATTCCACTCTGAATTTTCTTCCAACCCAGATTTCTTCACTTAGATTTATCATTCTGCCCTTACTCAAATTTAATCAAACATACTTTTGCCTATGCTTAAGAAAGCCTTTGGTGAATTATTTAAAAACAGAAGAGAAAATCAAACTCAGACTCTATTGCTAATCTATTCATTCCAAGGAACCTGACTATTTATGCGTTAGACAGTATATCACAAAAACAGCTCTAGAGGATAAGTTGATCACAGACACAGTCTGACTTTTTTATTAGGTAAAACTGCCCGATTTACCAAGATGGAAAAAATACTGTATAACTTTACAATCCAGAGAAAATATAATTATTTTGCAAACAGCTCTAACATTTGTACTTTATATGCTACTGATTAATCAGAACATAAAGAGGCAAATGCTGTTCAAAGAATCCATTTCCATAAAAGTAAATACAGGGGTTTTATGAAGAGAAATGGAAACTTTTCCCTGCACTCCATTTTGATCTCACCCAGGTACAGGTAGAACTTACTTTGGGGCAAGAGTGTACATGTATTTTTATCAAGAACAAAAAAAGTGCTCAAGAAGTTATTAGATTCTGGGAAATATTGGGGATGGGAGGAATATTACCAGGAAAAAATAGCCTCGGGTCTCTACAAATGTTGACATCATAAAAATATAATATCAACAGTTATTTTTAGATGTTCTTAGCTGCCTTTAGTGAAAACCATTCTTAAATAAATAACAGTTACCACATTCATAGTAACCAAAATCCAGCTGGAGAGCTTTTGCAGGACTTAAGTATGACTAAGGCTATAGTAATCTTGAAACTTCTTCTTGTGAGCTATGTAGTTCAGGGACATAGGAGTGAGTCACACAGGTGGGGTTTGGAGCCCAGTCTAGACTAGCATCTACCACAAATGTCATTTTAGCCAGAGATGTTCGGAAAAACAATGTTTTCTTGTTGTCATTACGTGCCCCGACCACACTGTGATAGTGGTACTGTGTGGAGCCTGGCCAGATGTAAAAGAAGATCAGCAGTCTATAAATTGAGATTCTGAACAGATCCAAGTTCAGACTCAAAGCATCCGATCTGAAGCAACTGTTATAAACCCAAGAACCCTGTCCTTTCAGATAAGGTCACACAGGGCGAATCAGGGTTCCACAATTCCTCCATTTGTGTGTCCGTACACACACAAAATTGTGAAATTTGTAAACTCAAGATGTTCTATATGTGTGAGCCTAAACGCAAACGCATTGCATTCAAGCACCCAATCCTCACTCCCTTTTCATTAGCCATAACCTTTTTTATGAGGGTTGTTTTATTGGGGGGGGGGGGGATGCCTTCTGTTTTGTGACCCGCTCCTTACGACTTGTTGTTTTATAAGGCGAAAAGGACACGAGACTCGCCTTCCCCTTCATAACTGGGCTGCTGCGTGGGACGGTGGGGGAATGGGGAAACGGACGCCAGGAGGAGGCCAAAGCAGACTGCGAGCACACAAGCCTGGCATCCTGGTCGGCTGAAAGGCGGCGACGCCACCCCGCGTGAGGCACGAGGAAGGCGCTGCTCTGTTCGGGGACGGGTTCCTGAGCCGGGAGGGGAGGAAGCGTCGCCCCAGGAGCCCCGGTCCCGCCCAGGTACAGCCGAGGAAAGGGGCGTGGAGGCCCAGGCGGCTGACAGCCCGCGGAAATGCTGAGGCTCCCGTGGCCGTCGTGTGCGGAGCAGCTTTCCCTCCCTGCTTTTTGCCGGAAGGTTGGAAATTTGTTAGCCGGCTGGAGAAATGGAGACGCCGCTCAGCGCGTGCTAAGAGGCAGCCGGTAAGTTTTGCTTTCAGTTCTCGTCCGTTTTCCTTTGCCCGCCTTAAACTAAACTAAAATCCGTATTAATCTGGGCTCCGGCCGGTTCAAACAGACCAGTCTTCCCCCGGTGTTTCCTCTTTTAGGCACTTTCTCCCCGTTCATTCATGAAGAGTCTAGCCTAGCGAGACGCTCCTCAAAAACGTACTTATTTGGAAATAACTCTGGCGGCTCAATTTATTATTTACGCTAACTAATTCCTTCTGTAAAAGTCGGCCGTGCCCAATTCGTGCATTCGGATCAGACGAGCCGCTTGAAAGCCTGGATCGGTTGGGGTCTCGCCTGCCCAGTGGGGCTGCCCACAGCTGGATTCGGGTTCCCGGAAATCCCGCGCGCCCTCGGAGGCTGAGAGTTGTTACTGGCTGTCGATTCTAGACAGCAGGACGAGGAGGTTGAAAATCTTGTAACTTTCCTTGTAATTAATTACCAAACAATGCCACTATGATCCCCTGACGTAAGTGGATTTAATTTAAAACATCAAAAACATTGCCAATCCTGCTTTAGTAGCCGGTAGAAGCCAGAGACATTTTTCTACGGAGCAGAGATAACTGTTGCTTTCACCCCAGTTGTTGCTCTTCTATCGGCCACTTGTTTAGCAGCTGTTGGAAAGCAGGTGCTGGACAACATGAGCTGTTAGTCCTATTGAGCAAAGCAGTTCTTGTGACTTGGATAAATTATATAGCTTTTAAACAACGGTACTGAAATCTGTATTGAAATCTCAAAGCTAGGACCTGGAGAGAAGACCATCTGTGACTATTTCCTGGATGAAAACAAATGTGCGCTGCAGAGTGACCTCCTCCAGTCCACTTAGCCAGGCTGTGCCAGGCCCAGAAAGAGCAAGAATTTCCAGGGCTTTTCCTGGAGTCCTGAAGCAAAGTCTACTTGTCTTGGTGATTACAACAAACAAGGTTAAAATGTAAATATAAAATAAAATACTGTATTTTTCTAGGATTAGGAAGTGAAACTGGTCCTTTTTTAATCCTACACTATAGGCAATATCAGTTTGTCCTGCCTGGCATTTATTTAGTTATGCTGAGATGGGAAATGGAAGCTAATAATTTAGTTGCAAATCCCCATTTCATCTTCTAGAAACATATTTTTTTTGCAAACCTACAATCAATGAAAAAGCACCGTCATTACTTTTGTTTCATCACCACTGCATTTGTAATAGATTATAATGCAAATTATCTCATAACTTGGGCAATGTGTGACAGATTCTCCACTCAGAATCTTTTTGGTGGCAAAAGAACAGATAGGAGATGTTGAGCTCTAGAAACTAAAAGTGCACAAACTGAATAAGAACTGGGCAACTCTGAACAGGATGAAGAGACACCCAGATTATGCACACTGTACACACATCTGATCATCTAGGTCTGAATTTGCCAGAGTAGAACTTTGCAACCTGTGTCCTTGGATATGTTATGTTTATGCCTTCAAGTTCACTCCTGGAAAAGTTTACAAAAATGTAGAAGTGATTTGCCATTGCCGCCTCCTTAGGGCTTAAAGAGTGTGTCTGGCTTCCGGTCACCCAGCTGGCTTTGGGCCTAAAATGGAATTAGAACTCCCAGCCTCCCAATTTCTAGCCTGATGCCTTAACCACCACTGTACACCAAATTTGCTTTCTGGCTATATGATTTCCAAACCTTGTGTCACTGGTAAAAATGGGTGGAGTTTTGATCTCATGATTGTAGCTATCATCTTGATATATGAAAGGAAGAAGTGTTAAAGCATAGAGGAAAGGATGGCCTATGCTTTGCCTGTAGTTGCTGTTGCATCAATTTGTTCATCATTTGGAATGTTGCCCAGTTCCCAACAAATTTCCCCTGAGGGAAAATTACCCACCTTGATGCAGAACTCACAGGAAATATGTTGAGGTTTCCTTGATCATCTGAGAATCCTACATGTTTCCCCATGCTGGGAATCAGGCTGGTTATTTATTCTCCATGCATCCATGGCTTGGATGCACCAACTTTTATATAAACATTAAATACATGTTTTAAATTAGGACCCAGCATATTTTGGAAATTATTCAGAGATTTGTTGCATAAGAATAGCACTTCCCTGCTATTTATTAAAGCAGGCCAACTATGAAGCCCAATTTCTGACTCTTTTTCCAGGATTACATACCCTAGAGGCTTCTCTGAGGCAGTCTTTTAAGAGTCAAGATCAAGGGTCTTTAAACTTGGCAAGTTTAAGACTTGTGGAATTCAACTCCCAGAATTCCTGAGCTAACATGACTGAAGGAGGAATTCTGGGAGTTGAAGTCCACAAGTATTAAAGCTGTCAAGTTTGAAGACCCCTGGTCAAGATCATGGCCACAATTCCACCTATGTTTATGTGCAATGCATGTAAAATGGGGCAGGTTTTTGACTTTGTAGTTGTGGCCTGGCTACTATTCTGACTTTTTTTTTTAACGACACCCCCCCTCCCATGCTGCCTGCATTATATTAGTTAAGTTAGAAAGAAACTGCAGTGCTTCGCAATTCTGCTCACATGAATAATTCATAATTGGATTTCCTAGTCTCTGTTTCCTCTCATAATCATAACTAACATACAGATGCTAATTTGACTGAAGCAATAGTATACTGCTCAAAAAAAAAATAAAGGGAACACTTAAACAACCCAATGTAACTCCAAGTCAATCACACTTCTGTGAAAGCAAACTGTACACTTAGGTAGCAACACTGATTGACAATCAATTTCACATGCTGTTGTGCAAATGGAATAGACAACAGGTGGAAAGCACAGGCAGTTAGCAAGACATCCCTTCTCTTTTCTGCAGGTGGCGGCCACAGACCACTTCTCAGTTCCTATGCTTTCTGGCTGATGGTTTGGTCACTTTTGAATGCTGGCAGTGCTTTCACTATAGTGGTAGCATGAGACGGAGTCTACAACCCACACAAGTGGCTCAGGTAGTGCAGCTCATCCAGGATGGCACATCAATTTGAGCTGTGTCTGTCAGTGTAATGTCCAGAGCATGGAGGCACTACCAGGAGACAGGCCAGTACATCAGGAGATGTGGAGGAGGCCGTAGGAGGGCAACAACCCAGCATCAGGACCGCTACCTCCGCCTTTGTGCAAGGAGGGACAGGAGGAACACTGCCAGAGCCCTGCAAAAATGACCTCCAGTGGGCCACAAATGTGCATGTGGCTGCTCAAACAGTCAGAAACAGACTCCATGAGGGTGGTATGAGGGCCCGACGTCCACAGGTGGGGGTTGTGCTTACAGCCCAACACCATGCAGGATGTTTGGCATTTGCCAGAGAACACCAAGATTGGCAAATTCACCACTGGCGCCCTGTGCT